ACTGAGCACCAGCAAGAAAGTTATGGGCCTCAAAAAGGGTTTGTGTAGGTTCATGAAAAGGGTGTCGAAACATTGTCATCCACCTTGGCTCTTTGAATGTTCTAGTTTGCCTTGTTTCTGCTGCATTTCCCGAAAGAAGAAGTCGGCGGTTTTGCATGTCAGTCCCAGTGCCATTCGAAAATGGGTTGGGGCCACTTGACACCTTTTCAGGCTTCCCTGGAGCAGACCATCGAGACCGAGCTCGAAGCCGACTCGGACCCATCGACTCATGGGCTCTGAGGGGCATGGAGCTGATGTTCAATGGGTTTGCTTTTTGTTGTGTTTTATACCCGGAACTCGCAACCTTAGCATGTTCTTGATGAATTTGTAAATTGCGGTATCGGAATCATAGTAGCCTGTGTTGGAAACGCAAAGTTTCCTGGGCCCGAAAGAGGTTTCCCACCTCAAGACTTACCAAGGAGCGAGATGTTGGGGAAAGCCAAGTATAATGCAAGTGCCAGGCTCCCAACCTGGCATGAAAGGCACCTGAGAAGCCAAGTCAGAAAAGTCGCTTGGGTTGAAGCAACATGGAAAAATACTTTTGCATTGTGGTGGGGCAAAGGCTGCGAGATCCCCTTTTTCTGACTTTCCGAGTCAAGCGTTGGATTTTGCCATGGTTGCGAGCCTCTCAAAGATGAAGCCACACTTGGATCGAAGATTGGTCTTCTTCCAGTTGGTTAAGGTGTTTTTCCCCGCTGTTGGTTTTAAAGGGAATCTATCACTACTGGAAATATGTTTCGTGTTTCCAGGGGACCAAAACGCAAATAGAGGTCTTGGGTCCTTTGTTTCTTGCGCAAAGAGTCTAGGCCAAAGTTTTTGGAGCCACCTTGGGCAAGCCAGGAGCCTGGCCCCGAGAAGCGTGCGAGGAGGCGCAAGGCAAGGGCTTGGGGTGCGAGAAGGGCAGGGGGGGGAGGAGGTCATTTGCTGTGATACCAAACAAATCAACTTTGAGGTGATACTGTTGTCAAGAAAATGTGGTGTCTCACTGCGGCGCGCAAAGTGAACAAGTAGCTATGAGTCGGGGCCCATGTCTTGGGGTGCTACAGCGGACATGGCGAACCCGCTCTTCGGCTCCAGCCCTTCTTAAGATCTCTGAAGGTTTTCCCCTTCAGCCGAGCTACACTTCCAAGACCCTTTGCAACAACTTGACTTTCTCTGACTTTCTTTCACCCTTTTGATCCACCACCCCTGTTGTCTGCCTTTCCCCCTTCCTTTGGCCTCAACCAGCGGGTTTCCTGGGCCCAGGGCCCTTGTCACTTTCGGCCGCTTTCGGCTGGATGCCGCAGGTCCGGGTGCGGCGGCCTCCGTCGGCGCCTTCGGATGCCTTGCGGCCCTCGCGGCCCTCGCGGGTGGTGAGCCTCTCCCCAGCGGCGGTGGAGGTCTTGGTGGCCGGGCGCCCAGAGCGAAACTGGTCGGGGAATGAGAAGCGCCGGCGGCGGCGAGGCTGGATCCATTTGAATTTGGGCCCCTTTTAAACATATGGGTCTGGATCTTTAGACTTTAACTTTTTGGGGGAATCAAGGGTTTTTCCATCAAACCCGCAAAAGGTTAAGCTTTTCGCAGAGGGGTCAACAGCACATAAGACAACTCTCGTGTTAATCGATTGGGAATTCCAAACGAAAGGCGGGGAGGCGGCTCGAAGATGGGATTCTCGAATTGGTTGCAAGTAGCAACCAAGTCTTCAGGGAATCCCAAAAGTTGCTTTGAACAGTAGTGATATAAACAGGTTCAAGCTGTTTACGCAAGGGATTGGCAATCTGCGTCCTATCTCCCTTGTCACCTATTAAAAAACTGCTTGGAGTAAGTCAGGGAAGGGGGGGGGGAGGGGATGAGGGGTTGAGCCCCGTAAATTTGAACAAGGCACACAAAAAGCGGGTTAGCCAAAAAGGGGAGATTCTGGTTGTCAAGGATGATATAGCTTCTGGCTTCCATGTTAATCTGCAGACGAGGTAACGGGGGCTCCGACAAATATTTTCTTGGATCTGCCAACAATTCAAAGTTGTCAAGTTGTGAAGAATCCTAGCAAGCCTCAATTATTATGTGTGGAAGCCGACTGGAGTACGCCGAATTTCTACACCTCGGTGGGTGTGTGTGTGTCTTACAGAGAAGTCCGAAGGAACATCAAGTTGTTTGGGGGGGGGGTCCCTTGTTTGACACATTCATGGGGAGTTCCTCGTGTTTGCACCGGCGCTCGAATGTTTTAGGCACTCAGTTGCACGAACATATGCACTGATATGTGTTATGTGTATATGTATATTTCTATATGCACACATGATGGTCTAAGCTTTTTGCTTATCAGTTCAGTTCACCTAAAACACATCTATTGGATATACATGGATATGAAGGGGTCAGGCAAGCCATCTCAGGCCGCTGGAGATGTCGCCGAGCACGCTGTCACGGAGGTGACGGAGCTCGAGCCTGAGGAGGTGAACGACGCCGCGGTTTCCGCGGAGATGGCGGCGGAGGCGGAAGTGAACGAGGTCGACTTGCGATCATTTGGGGCCTCCAAATCAAAACGAATTACTTTCCCACCTATTTCTACACGGAACCTGACGTTCATGGGCTTCTTTAAAAGGAAGATGGTCCAAACCAGGACCCCCGAACGTCAGGTTCCGTGTTAGTTGGTGGGATGGTATATTCAGGGTATACAAAGCATGAATCAGAAAATGTGGGCCAAGTCATGCGGGGGAAACGGTCTTTTCCGGAAAGTGATGCCAAGGGAATTCCCTTGGTCATAAAATAGTCACGGGGATGACCCGAGGTGGAATCATAGAAAGGGTCATATCCCGCGAACTTGGCTGCGATCTTTCACCGGCATTTTCAGGTATTGGTGCTGCAGGTATAGACGGGGCGTGCATGTGTGTATGTATGTTTGTGTAAATGTATGTAAATGTTTGTTTATATGATGTGAGTATATGTGTGTATACTACATGGATTTATTGAGCGCTCATGTAAGAGGTGCATGCTTGATTTAAGCCTTCGTACTTTCAAATTCCATACCAACAATGCCCTCGAATCTAATCCAGGCGGTTCGGGGTTGTGTTTATGCCTTAAGGCGAGGTTGCCAGGGACCGGGTTTGAAATCTTATGGTGTAAACACACACACACAGATGTTGGGATTTTTGGCCTTATTCGGCGCCTGCTGCGCCTGTAGGATTCGGTGTTTTGGGGGTGGAGGTGCTGATGGCAGTAAACGGCCGGGTGCTAGCAGTTGGGGTGCTGGCACAGATGTTGTTTTGGAGCTCTTCTGACCATGTTTGCGACATTGACGGCCGGGTGCTAGGGGCATTCAATTTGAGGTGCTGTTTTGGGGTGGTGCTGCATAACATGATTTGCGAGATTGACTGCTGGGTGCTAGAAGGCGTGCAGCTTGGGGTGCTAGTGCAGGTGCTGTTTGGCGGTGCGGCTGTTTCAGGTGCTGGCGATGGTGTGGGTGCATTTTGCAAGATTGACCCATAGAACATTTGCTTGACCCAGGTGCCCAGGCTCAAGCAGATGAGGAAAGGATGACGCTCGATTCGGTAGACCGATGGGCGAAGCAATGGAAGAAGACGCGCTGGACAGCTACTGGGCTTTGGAGGTTCAACGAGGGCTAACTTTGACTTTGTTTACACCAGACAGGCGTGTCTCTTTTTGAGTTCGCCCTTTTTGGTTGGTTTCAAAGGGAGACCAAAAGGAAAGTCGTTGATCCATGTTGAGGGCTCCGCTCCATGCGGCACTCTTACGCATGTAGCTGGAGTGAGCCCGCCCAAACTCCTGAGGCTGCCACCAGCAGCTTCACCAGGAGGTGGAGGCCTGGACGTGCCTGGCACGGCAGCGCCTCAGCGCCTCCAAGGAAGGGGAGTTTTGGGCGAATGTGGGTGGCTCCTTTGGAGCTGGTGCTGCTTTTTCGTGGATCTTGCTGGATTTAAAGGTAAACCAAACAGAAAAAAAAGAGGTTGGTGCTTTCCAAACAAGAAGATACCACCTTTCGAGTGGGTGAATAGGTGACTTTTAAAGGTAAACGTGGCAAACCAAGAAGAACAACTGCATGTGGTGGTTCCCAAACAAGATAGTTGCCATTTTGTGGGGGACTGAACAAGGGATTTTAGGCGACTTGTGGAGACTGAAATCACTTTTGGTAACATTTGGGTGGCCCTGAGCGGGTCTCCTCCAAAATGCGCATGTTTTCATTGGGCAGGCTGAGTATGACACTGAATCTCTGCACTGATTTTGATTTACCGTTCCTTGAGTTTTAAGTGGTTCATACCGAGAGTCCCTGTTGCCCATGGCCCAAAAAGTGATGATGATTTGGTGACCCTGCTGGGGTTGTCCCAAAATACGGGAACCCCAAACGGGCTTCATCGTATCTCTTGGTTTCACTTGTGCCCCCCGCCCCACCGAAAACAAACGAAAAGAAAAAAGAACAGAAGAGACGCGCGTGTGACTTCAAACAAGGACATACCCATATTGGGGTAACCTGTCAACCTGTTGGGCCGGTTCTAACACAGGGAGTCCGTTTGGATGCGAAAGACCCCCCTGAAACTCGTGGCACGCCCTTCCACGGAACAAACATGAAGCACCACTTGTCCTGGCTGCTGGACCAGGAGATGGAGCGGAGAGGGAGAGAGTGTGATGTGTACCTATGTGGTTGGAAATAAAGACATGGCTATTTACATGTTTGTGTGTGTGTGTGTGTTTGTGTGTGTGCGGAGTGACAGAATACCCTGTCACCACAGGAAAAGCGGGGGAGTGCGGCATGACTGAGGGACCGCACTCAACGAAGCTACCTCAGTCATGGGATACCGGATCTGATCAATCCGGCGTACCTGCTTTCCGTGATTCTGAAAGTCCTTTTGGCCCTCTTGGTTGCGGCGCTGTTTGTGCTTCTTGTTCTTTCGGGTAACGTGTTCGCTGCTAGAGGGAAGCCGAGTGCACCGCGAGCCGAACCCAGTCGAGACTCATCAGTTGTACTCGAGACTCATCAGTTGTACTCGAAAGATTAGCACTCTCCATCTGGAGTTTAAGTGTGTACACCCCATTCGTGGGGAATCCTCGGGTGTACCCATTGTGTGACCCCGGGCCGGCTCTGTCGGAAAATTTGACCTCAACGTGCTTATCATAGAACGGCGGAATTTCAGATTTAATCAGGAACGAGGTTTCACTAAAGGGCACGTCTTCTGGTTCTTCGCCCGCTTAGGGATGGCTTCTCCTTCCTCCCGTTCTCTTTTTGCTGCCTTTCGTGACCCGCGCGTTCGTCCCGCTCCTGTTCGCCCGCTTAGGGATGGCCTGGTTGTCCTCGCGTTGTTCACCTTTTTCCTCGTCTTCGTCTTCGTGTCTGTCTTCCTGTTCCTACTCCTCTTCTTCCTCACGTAGTTTGGCTTGACGTCTTCTTCCCCTTCCGTTGCTACTTCGGGTCCGTCCTCTTGGCCCCTGTGTGGGATTCGACGTCTTTCTCCGCGAGCCTTGGTCTTCATCCTCTGTTCCTGTCTGGGCGGGATGCGTCGCCCTAAAAACGCATACTACTACTTCCCTCTTCCTCTTCCTTCTTCCTTCTTCCTTCTTTTCTCCTTTTTGTCTCCTTGCCTTCTGCTTCTTGTTCCTTCTTCCCGGGCGGGATGCGGCGCCCTAAATACGCACCCTGCTCCTTTCTTTTTCCCCCCGGGCGGTTGCGACGCCCTAAATACGCTTTTGTCTCTCTCTCTCTTTCTCTCTCTCTTTCTGTGTCTGTCTCTCTCTCTCTCTCTCTCTCTCTCTTTCTTTCTCTCTTTCGTCCCTTTCTTTTCTTTCCTTTCTTTTTCTTTCCCTCTCTGGGCTATCTCTTGTACTTCCTGTTCGCCCGGTTAGGGATGGCCTGTTCCTCTTCTGCCTCTTTGCCTTCGCGGCCCCTTTCGTCTACAAGGTCTAGGTCGTTTTTGCGCTGTTTGGGGTTGTTGCCCTCGGAGACCCGAAGCCTGGCTTCCCCGTTGTTCTTGTTTTTTGTTTGGGGTTTTGCCCGCGGTGACCCAACCTGCGGCCTTTCTGTTTCTTTTGGGCTCCCTTGCTCCGTTTGTTTTCTGTTGGGGTCTTCGCCCGGTTTTGGGGCGCGTGTTTTTTCTCCCCCCGAAAAGTGGTTCTCGCCCCTCTTTGAGGGGCGTGTGTGTGCGGAGTGACAGAATACCCTGTCACCACAGGAAAAGCGGGGGAGTGCGGCATGACTGAGGGACCGCACTCAACGAAGCTACCTCAGTCATGGGATACCGGATCTGATCAATCCGGCGTACCTGCTTTCCGTGATTCTGAAAGTCCTTTTGGCCCCCTTGGTTGCGGCGCTGTTTGTGCTTCTTGTTCTTTCGGGTAACGTGTTCGCTGCTAGAGGGAAGCCGAGTGCACCGCGAGCAGAACCCAGTCGAGACTCATCAGTTGTACTCGAGACTCATCAGTTGTACTCGAAAGATTAGCACTCTCCATCTGGAGTTTAAGTGTGTGTGTGTGGGTGGGTGGGTGGGTGGGGTGGTGGCGGGGTCCGCAAAAATGTCTGCAAATGGGGTGTGCATATTGCATTGTTACATGCTTCTTCCAGCAATAATTTCTCGCCGCTCTTGCAACCAGATGCCCGCTGCCAACGTGCAGCGTGGACCCCGTGGCAGAACATTTGGTGGCTTGTTGCTTCATTTGCTTCTGACTGCGGGATGATTCCTAGGGGACAACCTGTTTGAGACCCGGGGCTTATCAAGTCTTCAAGACTCTCTTTGGGACCTCTTTGGCTGATCTTGATTTTATACCTGCATGGTGTTTGCACAACAGACCCAATCACATTGGGTTGGAAATCTGTGACTTTGTTGGAAGTTGACTTTGGGCGGCTGCCCTGTCCTGCGCGTGTTGTTGTCTTCCAAAGTCAGCTTTGACCCCAAAAGGATCCTTGGCAGACTCATTATTCTTGCGTGTTGCAGGCTTCTTTGGACTAGCTGTTTGGGTGGTGTGCATTACACCTAGCACACGACCAGCATCTTTTTAGAACAGTGGTTGCCAAGACAGGTGCCAGATCGTTCCTGCCTTCAAAGGTCGAACTGTCCAGTGTATCTCCGTTTTGCCCTGGTCCAACTGGGCATCTCCAAGATCGACTCAGACGGGCCTCTATGCGAAAAACAAATTTATGGCAACACTTACATGTTGTTTTGGGGCTGGATCCAAGATCCAAGGTCCAAGTTTGCACAGAGCATTTGTTGGGATTATTGATTCCAAGCCACCCCGCCAAAAAATGGACAACGTCGCAAATGGTGCGGGCAACAGTTTCGAGGCTCACAGATTGGCTCGCACATGTTGCGCAACGATTGGCAAAAGTTGCCAACGTTCCACAACTCTCAAGCTGAGCAACTAGAAATCTACCAAGCAACCAACAAATCCTATGCCCGCCGTGCCCAACATTTTCCATATGACGCCCAATATTTCCACAGAACCCCTGGATCAACAAAACAAAGGAAACAACGGAATCCCACGCTTGACA